CCGGACCTCCCTTCTACCTCGTTGTCCCCTCCCCTCCCGACTGATTTGCCGTCCCTAATCTCTGCCCTCACTGCCCTGACCCAACCCCCCCCGTTATCACCCCTCCAACCCCTTCTCCAGTGTTACCTCCTCCTCCCGAAGTCCCGGCCCCCTCTACCTCGTTGCCTCCTCCTCCCTCGGCCGATTTGCCGTCCCTAATCTCTGCCCTCACCGCCCTGACCCAACCCCCCGTTACCACCCCTCCAACCCCTTCTCCAGTGTTACCTCCTCCTCCCGAAGTCCCGGCCCCCTCAACCTCGTTGCCTCCTCCTCCCTCGGCCGTTTTGCCATCCCTAATCTCTGCCCTCACCGCCCTGACCCAACCCCCCGTTACCACCCCTCCAACCCCTTCTCCAGTGTTACCTCCTCCTCCCGATATCCCGGTCCCCTCTACCTCGTTGCCTCCTCCCCTCTCGGCTGATTTGCTGTCCCTAATCTCTGCCCTTACCGCCCTGAATGAGCCCCCCGTTCCCACCCCTCCAACCCCTTCTCCAGTGGTAAGCCATCCCGATATCCCGGTCCCCTCTACCTCGTTGCCTCCTCCCCTCCCGACTGATTTCCCGTCCCAACCCTCTACCCACGCTGTTACGACCCAGCCCCCTGTTCCCATCCCTCCGACCCCTCCCCCGGTGACCCCTGACCCAACCATGGCCAATGACCTGTCTAGCTCGATATCCGCCCTCTTCTCTGCTGTTACCTCCCTGGTTAATTCCGCGATTCCTGCCCCGCCTCCCACTGATTTACCTCCTCCACCTCCTCCCTCTGATCCTCCAACCCCTTCTCCGCCCCCGGCTAACGTCCCCGAGCCTTCCGATCCAATCTCTGCCCTTGCTCACGTCCTTAATACTCACCTATCACGCCCATCCCAGCCAGCCCCCTGCTTTACAGGCCCGTGCATACCCTCCAGCTCATGCTGATGGGTTTGACACGGGTGGTTTCCGAGATATTCAGCCCCTACCTCGACAATGCCGCCTTGCCCGTGCTCCTATGCAGTCCAGCCACCCTCCCACTTCTACCCACCGGTACCAAGGACCCGACCAGGCCCATTTAGATTTACTGCAATAGGTTACCGGCAAGCCTGTGTCAGCAACCCCTGCCATGACCCCTCCTTTTTGTCAGACACCGATGTCTCCTGTGTTGGGGTGGATGATGCACCCCGCAGTAGCCCCCTTCCTACACTCCTGCATGTTGGTTCACACATACTCTCACGTTTTGTTGTTTCTTCTACTTGTCCCATTAACCTCTTGGGTGCTGATGTTCCTTCTCAGCTCCAGGGTCCAGTTAACTACACCCTTATCACAGTCAGACACCACTGTACTCTGCTCACTCCCCATCTTGTTGAACCTAACTGACAATACAGGGAGTGCACGGGTCACACACCCCCCCAGTGCTCTGGATCGTATCCCCCAAGAACTTTGGTCCACCGGCCCGGATGATATTGGACGCTTACATGTACCCCCCGTCCTGGTCCAGCTCCTGCCTGGAGCACTTCCTCTTCGTAGACCTCAGTATCCTCTGAAGCCACCACAAGCTGAAACCATCACCAAACAAGTTGAGTCTCTGCTTGCCAAAGGTGCCCTCACCAAGTGCACATCTCCATGCAACACCCCACTTTTCCCTGTTAAAAAGCGAACTGTTAAGGGCCAACCCGACCAGTACCGCATGGTACAGGACCTCCGTGCTGTTAATGAAGTAACCATAAAGGACACTGCTATTGTTCCAAACCCCCATACCCTTTTGTCCCAGGTGCCACCCAATTCAACAATTTTTTCTGTAGTGGATCTAGCTAATGCCTTTTTCAGTGTCCCCCTTGACCCTTCCTGCCATTTTCTCTTCGCCTTCACACATGAAGGACAACAATATACCTGAGCTCAGAACTCTCCCACATAGTTTGCTCATGCCATGTCTCTAGTTTTGGATCCCTGGCAGAAATCTCATCTGGATGTTATTCTACTTCAATATGTTGATGACCTCCTTCTCTGTGCTCCTAATTTGCTTATTGCAGAGCGTGACTCAGAAGATCTCCTATGTTTCCTCGCTGCTGCAGGTTGCAAAACTTCCAAATCCAAGCTGCAATGGTGCCGGCCCTCTGTGGTCTTCTTGGGACATTGTCTTTCCCATGGCACCAGACATCTAACTTCTCAGCGTGTACAAGCTATTTTGCAACTCCCATTACCTGCACCACATCAGACTCTTCATGCCTTCTTGGGTCTTATCACATACTGCAGGTCCTGGATACCCGAAGCATCAAAGCTCATGCAGCCACTCTATGATGCCCTCAGGAGTGAGCCCTTTCACCTCACTGAAGAAACTATCATCTGTTTCCACAATCTGAAAAGAGCTATTGCTTCTGCACCTGCCTTGGGCCTACCCAACTACCAACTTCCTTTCAATCTGTTTGTCTCTGAAAAATCAGGACATGCTTCCGGAGTCCTCACCCAGAAACATGGATCAAGACAACGACCTATTGGCTATTTTTCCTGCATGCTTGACCCTGTTGCGAGAGGTAGTCCCTTTTGCCTCAGAGCGGTGTTTGCTGCCAGCGCCCTCCTGGACAAGACCAATGATTTTGTTCTTGGCCACCACCTCACAGTGTTGGCCCCTCATGACATTACTGCAATCCTGCAACAAACTCAACCTAAGCACCTTTCTTCTCAATGTTACCTTCGTCTACAAACATCCTTACTGTTACTGACAATGTGAAACTTCAGCGATGTCTCTCCCTGAACCCGGCCACTCTTCTGCCACTTCCCAAGGGGGGAATTGTGCATTACTGGTATAGCCTGGACATCAACCCAGAGGTTTGAGCAGATTTGCAGCTGCCTGCACTTGCACCCCCACATAATGAACAATCAGAGGCCCTACTTCACTGCACCTTATGGTTTAAAGACAGACCAGGCCCTGATATGAACTATGAGGAAGAATTATTCCAGCTCAAGGAAATTCCAATTACCCTGACTGACTTGTTATGGGACCCCACAGGTACCATGCTCATCTTAGTCCATCTTCCAGAGAACATGACACATCTCTACCATCATTGGGAAACAGCTATCCCACACATATCTCTCACCAGATCCTCTGACACCTCATGGAAAGACCTAGGCCCGATGGCCAAACCTGGAGTCAAATGAACCAAGAACAACTGACTTCTATGGGGACCAGCAAAAAGACTATTAACTACTGTACAGCAGGGTACCCTAGGTACCACACAGACGTCTGTGAGGACCCACTCATCATAGACTGTGACCCTGATATTTCCCCACTTAGCTGATCAGGCCGCTAAGGAAGCAGCACAACAAGGATGGGAAGTGGACAGAAGAGTGGCCACAGACGCAGTGCCCATCTACACCATGCAGACACTGCCTACGGATCTTAGGCTTCTCAAGGAACAACCAGCTACTGCTACTCCCCAGGAGAAACAAAGTTGGAAGAACAAAGGAGCTGTACTCCGTGATGATGTTTACACTATCAATCTCAAGTTTTGCCTACCCAGAAATATGTATCCAGCGGTGGTCCAATGGGCCCATGGGCCAGCCCACCTGTCAAAACATCTGATGAACTCATTGATTGACAAGTATTTTGAAGCACCAGGCATCACTACCTTAACACAGAATTACTGTAAATCTTGTACTATATGTGCTAAATGCAATCCTGGAAAGATTATAAAGACTGCACCTAATCATCTAGCTAAACCACAATACCCCTTCCAGAGGATCCAGATTGATCACATTCAGATGCCAAAGAGTGGACGTTATGAATATGCATTGGTCATACTGGACATGTTTTCAGGATGGCCAGAGGCCTTCCCAGTGACTAATCTCACCGCGAGGACTACAGCCAAGTATCTCTTGACAGAAATTGTTTGCCGCTATGGAGTTCCAGAAGTAATTGAAAGTGACCAAGGGACCTCCTTCACTGCCTCGCTAACACGGGAAGTCTGGCCAGCACTGGGGGTGACCCTTGCATTCCACACACCATATCACCCACAGGGTAGTGGTAAGGTAGAGCGCATGAATGGCACTTTGAAAGCCAGAATGCTTCAAATGTCACAAGAAACTAACATGCCCTGGCCCGAGAGTCTCCCATTAGCGTTGTTTAGTGTAAGGTACACTCCTAGGGGAAAATATAGCCTATCACCTTATGAGATTTTGTTTGGTACAGCACCCAGGTTAGGTTGTTACTTTCCCCAACAGCTTCAGATTCAGTCAGATGCTATGGTAGACTATGTGACTGCCCTCTCACATGCCTTGACCAAAATACATGCCCAAGTGTTTTCTTCTATTCCAGATCCTGAGTCAAATACAGGTACACACAAGCTGCTTCCTGGTGATTGGGTTATGGTCAAGAAGTTTCTCAGGAAACACACCCTAGAACCAAGATTTGATGGCCCATATCAAGTGCTCCTGATTACAGCAACGTCAGTTAAACTAGCCGGGAAGAGTTCTTGGATACACGCCTCACATTACAAAAAAGTGCCTGCTCCAGAAGAGGCTGTTCTTGCTGAAACATGAATTTATTATGTGTCTTGTGTTTTCTTATGTTGTTGCACTTTGCTTGGGCCCAACAAGCGGCCATAACCAAAGATAATCATGTTTACACTTTTCTGGTACAATTCTTCTAACACAGATGTAGCTACATATACCTTAGATTACTGTGACATAGTTGTTTGCACCTTTTTCACAAACACAATATGCAGCCATATACAAAGACATACCTAGCAAAAAGGCTCACCTCACCAGACTGGGTAGGAACCACTCACATGACTATTAACACGTTAAAACCACATATTAAGACTCTACATGACATGGTAGCTATAGCCAATCCCACCTTTGAAGACACTATGACAGTAGAGACTGGGTTTTCAGACACTAATTTGTGGCTAGAATGGATGAGATATAACGCCAACTCACATAATAAGACTAACTGTTATGTATGTGGAGGAGCCAGGCCCCATCTGGGCACAGTACCTCTAAGCCTACCTCCTGAAGTAGAATTATGTGTTCTGAGTCTTTATGCACAATCCACCACCAACTCCTCAACATGTGAATCATGGAAAAGGGTTTACCCAATCACTCATGGATATGTCAAGCCACCTGATGGAGTCACCATCTATCCAGGTAATTACACATGTTATGCTATACCTAAGAATACTGGTGTGTATCTGGGCAGATTCCCATCTGGATATTGCTCAACCTACCATAGCCCACCTGTGTCACTGCTAATAAATCATGCAAAGACCATTGGAGATATCTATTGGTTATGTGGTGACAGACAATTGAGGTCCCAATTAGCTGAGCAATGGTGGGGGGAGTGTGCCCTAACCAAAGTCATAATGCCTATCCACATTATTCCAGATGGTAGTCATAACACGTTAAACCTTACACATGTACACTCTAGAACCAAACGAGGGGCTCCTATCCGAGGGAGCTTTGACCCCCATGTGTATATTGATGCCATAGGTGTGCCAAGGGGGGTGCCTAAAGAATACAAAGCAAGAGATGAAGTGGCTGCAGGATTTGAATCCCTAATTCCAATGATAACTTCTAACAAAAATGTCAATTGGATTAACTACATTTACTATAATCAACAGCGCTTTGTCAACTACACTAGGGATGCCCTACAGGGCCTGGCAGAGTAATTACAAGCCACTACCCAAATGACATTTCAGAACAGAATGGCCCTAGATATGATTTTAGCTGAGAAAGGGGGTGTATGTAAAATCCTCCCTGAGACCATGACATGTTGCACATACATTCCAGACAACACTGGGCCCAATGGTAAGGTGACTATGGCCATAGAGAAGCTAGATAGTCTTGCAGACGAGCTAAAGAAAAATTCAGGAGTCACTGACACTTGGGACAGATGGTTTGGATGGATGAATGGTTGGCAAAGGACCCTCTTCCAGGTAGGGACAGCTGTTCTTATAATGATCATCATTTCCTTATTTCTAACCTGTTGCGTACTCCCTTGCATAACAGAAGTACTTACAGAAAGCGGTAGATAAGACTGTGGATGACGTGACCCCTACTTTCCTACATCAAGATATCACAGACCTCGAAGATGACACACCACACACACCCCTACAATCACATCAGTTTAAACAGACAACTGCCTTTCTATAGGGATAGAGTAGGGAAAGTGTCTGTCTTGACAGGTGAGTCTCACGTGTGGAGATGTAGTGGGCTAGCCACTGCGGGATACCCGCGGAGTGAAGTGTTCGATGCTTGTCAAGACAGATAGGTTGCGGGCAACTAGGGACATATTAGGGACAGCAGCAGTTGTTATGGTAAATAGCCATTTTAGGGGGGACTGTTGTGGAAATAAGGTCTGCACATATTTCCTAGTTAGTGAAAATGTCTATTTACTCATTCCACGATATATTATATATAAAGCTATACACACGTGCTCTAATCAAGATGGCTGCTAGAAGCTTCTAACCCCTTCCTCCCCCTGCCCCTTTAAACACCGACTAACTACCTCGTGCAGCAAGATGGCGCCGGGAAACCGTGGGAGACCCTCATGGACCTGGTGACATGAAATATTGACATATTTTTAGCTAGTAAAATGTCTATTTACTTCATTTAGTTATACTTAATATTATTCAATAAATTACTAAACTGACCACTAGATGTCACTCAGGAGTACCCCACCCATCGACCAAACACTCTAATTTTCAAGATGGCGCTGGAATCCTGGGGGAGAACTCCATGACGACAGTAATGACATAAGAAGGCACACCCTGTAGGACGTGCTTTGAATAAAACACTTAACACTTAACCAATTATTGATGTATTATTCCATGTTATCTCTGACAATGCTTATGATGTAATTTTGCTTTAAAAGGGACCTGCCGTCCCCTCTGAATAAACTTTCCTCAAGTTATTCAACAACCTGGAACCTGTGTCTGGTGTGAATTACTTCAGGGAGCGTGCACGCATTGTTTCATTGATTTGGCCAGGGGCAGATACACAAAGAAATAATCAATACTTTAATTGATTTTTCCATTTCAATTAAGATGTTCTAATAGGCGAACCTTCAAAATCCTCTTAGTCCGTCCCACGTATTGCATGCCACACGGACATTGTAGCAAATATACCACAAAGTCCGTGTGGCAATTTATATTGTCTCTAAGTGTAAAGCTCTCCCCCGTGATAAAGCTAGAAAAAGTATGTATATTTTTAATAGATACCGTGGTACAAGCTTTACAAGTACCACAGCCTCGAAATGAACCTGAACTAGCAGAGGTGAGACCTGATGGTGGTTTAATGGCATAACTGGGTGCCAACATATCCTTCAAATTTTTATTCCTTTTGTAAATTACCATGGGATTGTCTGATAGATGTGTCCCCAAAATGGGGTCTTGCAACAGAATTGGCCAAGAACTTTGAAGACTTCTCTTAATCTTGTTATGATCAATATTGTAATGGTTGGTAAATGCAGAACGAAAACCATCCCCAGTTCCCGAAGTATATGGTTTATTCTCCAAAAAAGTTTTCCTTTCTATATCACCAATACGACGGATTTCTTTCTCCAATCTCTTTCCATTATATCCTCTATCTGTAAGTTTCCTTTTAACATGTAATGATTGGGCGAAGAAATCCCGTTTATCAGAACAATTTCGCCTAAGGCGGGTAAACTGGCTTTTGGCTATCCCCCTAAGCCAGGGTTCATGATGACCACTCCTACGATGGACAAACCCATTACCATCAGTGGGTTTAAAAAAACATTTACTTTTTATATGTCTCGAATCATGAGACAGACAAAGATCGAGAAAATTAATCTCATCCCTATTCCAGATGGGAGTAAAGACAAGATTGTACTCGTTGTCATTCAAAAAATTAACATAATCCTGAAACAAAACAGAAGATCCCTTCCAAATAATAATAACATCATCAATATAACGCCGCCACAGGACCAAGTTCGCCCTCCAGCCATGTCCAGACCACACAAACAACTCTTCCCATCTCCTCATGTATGTATTGGCATAGCTGGGGGCGAACTTGGTCCCCATGGCAGTCCCCGTGATTTGTAAAAAATAATCACCATTAAAGAAAAAATTATTGTGATGTAAAATAAATTGGACAGAAGAAAAAATAAAATCCCTCATATCCCCTGGTAACTCCAAATCCTGCTCCATGAAATAATCAACTGCCTCCAAACCCATCAAGTGTGGCCCAACTGTACTCTGGGTCCCATTCGATGTTCTCCATTTCTTGGAGGAAAGACTTCGTATCCTTCACATATGAAGGGGCCCCTTGGGCATATTTTTGTAACCGAGAATCGACATAAGCTGACAAATTAGCCGTTAGTGAATTAATGCCACTGATTATGGGTCGCCCAGGAGGGTTGGGGAGACGCTTATGCGTTTTTGGAAGAAAATAA